ATTGCTCATATATCCCAATGAAATTTGACAGGAAATAACTATTCAATAAAAGAAGAAGAGAATTTTGTAAAAAAAATCGATTATGAAATCTGACCATTTAATGAATGATATTAAGGAGGGAAGAAATGCCCATTGCACAAAGTAGCTCTCAAACACAGGGATGTTCCTGAAAGTAAATGTTGCTGAATTATGTGTACAGTCTTTCAGTGTCCTCAAGCCTCTTTTGTCTTCCAGTTTCTGACCAATATCCACAATTGAAATTTCACCCACCACAAGTTTAAGCTCCTAGCATATGCAAATTTTATCATCTCATGTAGTACAAAAAAGTGGACGTGTGTGTGTGTTTTAAAAATCATATGTATTGTGGCACATTAGCTGTGCCTTTCATTTCAATACCCTTCCGTTTTAATGGAGTGCAGAAGAGGTCGAGGGTTCAAATTCATGAAACGGCACAGAACTACAAAGGGAAATGTACACAGTGCAAATAAGATATCCGGATTCCCAAATCTATTTGCTTTTCTATGCCTGGCATCCAGAGATCATGTTTAAATTTACTAAGCGAGTTGCTTCTCCCCCCCCCCCCTGCTCCCCTCCCCTCCCCTTTTTTGGAGTGTTTCAATTGCCTTTCCTTCTTCCAACAGCTGTGACAACTGTTAAAACAGTCAGTAAAATTAAGTCCGCTCTATAATCCTTTAGTCAATGTTACATTTTAATCAGAGGTTGGCGGAGATTTCGTATAATAAGCGCACCGTTTCATTTGGAACAATTAAAGTCACACAGACGTGTGCAAATCTGTGTGTGTGTGCGTGTGTGTGTGTATGTATATATATAGCATCTGTCCTGTTATTAACTACTGTTTGAAATTATTAGCATGACTTTTCTTTTCTTTTTTTTCCTGAAAGGAAAAAAGCAAGGATTGCAGATGGCTTTAAGTTTTTGCATTCTTTCACATGAGCTAGCCAGAATCAAAGCATACCAAGGGACAGTCGGAAGGATGCCTGTGTACTCCCGAAATGTTTCATCCGTTGTGAACCTGCCTCCCTCATTACATGTGCAAACTCTCATCGCCGATCCACTACTTTTATTTCATCTCTGTGTGCAGCCTGCATCAGATGCCACACAGCAAAAACACAATTACTCACAATATTAATAGCAAGTAAGGCTCTGTGGTTTATTAATTGAGACAGAGCGGCAGATGCGTTGCTGGGCTTGAGATTGCTCTGCCTGCCCACTGAACCACAGAGCATCTAGCCTAACATCCGGAAGACTTTTAATAGAGGCAAAATGGGGCAAGGGGGGAAAGAAAGCTAATTGTGGCGGGGCAGGAGGAAGGAGGGGAGGGAGGGAGGAAGAGTTTGAGTGTTCCGCCAGAGTCCAAAAAAGCACGTGCCCTGATTTCATTTAAATGCATCTACATTAAGAGGCTTATCAAAACTAATCATTCAAATTAGCTCTAAGAAGGTAAATTCAAGAAAGCTCCTTAAAAAAGAACATCTTCCTAACTTTAGAATCTCTCCCCTCCCCGACAAAGAAAACTACTTGGAATAGGGACAACTGCACTTAAAACATTTCAGACCACACTGTATATCAACTATCTGGGTTCCTAATCTATAAACCGCATAGTACTGTTTATTTACCTTCTTATTGCAAATGGATAAGGGATCCAGTCTCTCACCAGTCTTTACTATATTATCAGTTTGTGGCAGGCAAGGTCCTTTCTCACTTATCTATATTATTTGGCTCTTTGGAGAGAAAAAATAACACAGATCTCTGACTTAATTGCAACTTGCCACTATTAACAGGCAGACAGTGAGCATATAAATCCAAACTATACAGTCACCCACAATAGATGACACTTGGCATATAGGGTTGAGTCAAAGGGCAACTTCCATGGTGTGCATTCTTTAGGACAAAATGAAGTTTGCAAGTTTGAGATGTGCCTTTTGGGTCCCACCCACACCTTCCACATGCCTGCCTTCTGCTGTGCCGTCAGTAGGAAAGAGAACAGTAAAGCACATCGCTTTGAAGAAGGGTATCAATGTGTGGCATTTCTTTATTCATCCTCTATAAAGGAGCCGTCTGCTCTGGGGGCATGAGAAATATTCTCTTAATACAGTTTCACAAACAGGCGGGATCAAGAAGTGTGCCTTGCACGCCTCTCTTGCTTAGACTGGGACCTGACTGTTGGACCCCAATGACAGAAGGAGAGCCTCAAAGTGGGACTAAACAATGTATTGTCAAAGGCTTTCATGGCTGCAATCACTGGGTTGTTGTGAGTTTTCCGGGCTGTATGGCCATGCTCTAGAAGCATTCTCTCCTGACGTTTCGCCTGCATCTATGCAATCACTGGGTTGTTGTGAGTTTTCCGGGCTGTATGGCCATGCTCTAGAAGCATTCTCTCCTGACATTTCACCTACATCTATGGCAGGCATCCTCAGATGTGGTGAGGTCTGTTGGAAGTTAGGAAAATAGGGTTTATTATATATCTGTGGAATGTCCAAGGTGGCCAATTGCAACATTCACACCGACCTCCAACAGACTAGAGGTATAATGTCTCCCGCCCTGGACATTATTCCACAGATATAAAACCCATTTTCCTAGTTTCCAACAGACCTCACAACCTAATACTACTACTACTACTACTATGATATTATAATTATATATTTATATTACTAATAATCTTGGTATAATGGTATAGTACGATATAGTAATATTCAATAGTGATATTGTACTATGCTAATCATATAATATATTGTATGTGTGTGTGTGTGTGTGTTTGTGTATGTATATATATATATATATATATATATATCTTGTAAGCCACTCTGAGTCCCCTTCGGGGTGAGAACGGTGGCATATAAATGTCGTAAATAAATAAATAAACCTCTGAGGATGCCTGCCATAGATGCAGGTGAAACGTCAGGAGAGAATGCTTCCGGAACATGGCCAAACAGCCCGGAAAACTCACAACAACCCTGGGATTAAACAGTTGGGGAAGATCAAAATATCTGATCAGCGGGACAAGTTCCTAAGTATCTTTCCTGTTAGAAGTAGAGATCCTTCTCCAACTTGATGATGGATGATGATGGTTTGGGAGAGGAGGAACAGTTGGGGCAGATCAAAATATCTGCTCTACGGGACAAGGTCCTTAGTATCTCTCCTGTTTGAAGTAGAGATCCTTCTCCAACTTGATGATGGATGATGATGGTTTGGGAGAGGAGGAAGAGAGGGGAGGAAGAGAGGGGAGGAAGAGAGGGGAGGACCTGCCTGCCTCCAAGCTCTGTTGAAACAATCCCCCTTCTTGCCTTGGTGCCAAGTGCCTATTCTTAGGAGCTGAAGAAGGAGCGACTGTCACTCACCGGGCTCTGGCTGGACTGGCACACCGTTCCTCCACTTGCTCCGAATTTTAGCCCATAAAAGACAGGCACAAAAGAGACATCAGAGGCACCCGACACCCCTTACCCCTCAAACCCACGCGCCGCCCTTTGCACATGCACAGAAGCCCAGAAGGCATGCTTTTGCCTTCCCGATCCCCCAGCAAAGGGTAGAGAAAGAGGAGAACAAGAAGAAAGGTACCTACTCTTCTTCGTAGTGCATGGAAAAAGCTTCAGGGAGGCAAAGTTCTACCGAATCCATGTGCGCCCGGCCACCATTCTTTGCGCGCCCCAGCCAAGCAAGGAAAGTTCCCTGGAGCCGGGCAAGGAAGCGCAGAGAGAGAGAGAGAGACAGAGAGAGACTGAGACGCTTCTGTCGCCTCTCCTGCTGCTCCTGCTGCTGCCGCGTCCTCCCGGTGACAAGCCCAGTTGGGACCCCCAGCTCTCTCTCTCTCCCTCTCCCTCTCTCTCTCTCTCTAATCAAGGACTTAAAGCCCCGATTGGAGCTTATAAATATGAAGTAGGGCTTTGCATATGCAGTCCCCCCGGCCCAGGCCGGGCGCGGATTGGCAGGGCGGGAGCCAATCAGCACCGCCGAGCGGAGAGGCTGCACGGATTGAGAGCCCCAGCTCGGCAGGTAGAGAGACTGAGCGGGAGGGAGGCGGAGAAGGGAAGGAAGAGGAGGAGGAGGAAGAGGAGGAGGAGGAGGAGGAGGAGGAGGCTGGGGACAAGAGGGAGGGAGGAGGGCTCTCAATGAGGCTCCCGAGGGCTCCAGAGTCGCCCAACTCTCTCTCTCTATCTCTCTCTCTCTCTCTCTCTCTCGGGAGGGTTGGACTCCTTTGGTGGCCGAGCGCAGCCGGGCAGAGAGGGGAGATTTCCTTCCCGGTAAGGTAAACTCTCTCGACCGAACTTGGCGCTCTGCTCGCCGTCTCGTCTTGCGGGTTGAAAGCCTTTCGAACCGCGCTGCTTTGGAAGCGTGGGCACAGTCCGCAGGCTGCGGTGGCATATGTGTGCTTGGGGCTTCAGCTCCCACAATCCCCAGCCGGCTTAGCCAAGGGCCGGGGATTATGGGAGCTGAAGTCCCAACCACACCTGTGGGGAGGACCCAAAGTTTGGGAAGKCCTGGAAGGAGGGAAGGAGTAGTCCCCAGGCTGGAGTCCGGCAGGTGTGCTTGGGACTTTCACTCCCACAATCCCCCGCCGGCTAGGCCAAGGGCCGAGAATTCTGGGAGCTGAAGTCCCAAACATAAGGGGAGACCCAGAATTTGGGAAGCCCTGGAAGGAGGGGGGGAGGATGGAAAGGAAGAATGAGGAAAGGAGGAAAGGACGAAGGGAATAAAGAGGGAATATCAGGAAGGAAAAAAGGAAGGGAGAAAGAAGACGGAAGGAAGGGAAAAAGGAAGAAGGGATGGATGGATGTGAAACAGAGAGGGATGGACAGACTTAAGTAAGAACAAAGTTTCAATCCCACTCTCACCTGTCTAAATCAGGCATGGGCAAACTTCGGCCCTCCTGGTATTTTGGACTTCAACTCCTACAATTCCTAACAGCCAGTATTTCTGTTAGGAATTGTGGGAGTTGAAGTCCAAAATACCCGGAGGGCCGAAGTTTGCCCATGCCTGGTCTAAATGCACTGGGGAACCTGCATGTGGGAGGAAACCCTCAGCATCTTGAGTGAAACATGGCTAGGATGGAACTGTTCATTTCTGCTCCCACATACTTCATTTCTCTTTCCCATTTCTAAAGATCTGAGCAGAGTACAGGTGGAATGGGGGCTTGCTTTCTGCTGAGCTTCTGAACTTCCAAGTTTTGTAAACATGCAAGGCTGCCAGTGTTTGTCTTTGCATCACTCTGAGAGAGAGAGAGAAACATGCTAGGGAGCTGGAAAGAAAAAGCTGTGCACTTTGACCATGTTTATGCTGAAAAGGGGCCGCATGCCTGTTTGCAAACCTATGAGGATGCCTAAAGGCAAACAGGATGGTGCCAGTTAATATTGGTCTGTTTTATTTGCGTCTCCAAAAAAGGAATAAGCAAGAGAAACTTTGTTGATCAGTGTTACCAGTATTAACTGTTATTATCTGAATGCAACTTTTTTACAGTTCAAAGGCGTTTCTCCAAAATAACACAGTGGGACTGTCCAGCAAACTGAACTGTTCGGCAGTGCAAAGCAGCCAAAGGTATGTACAAATTTGGATATTGGTCCCACTGAAGTCATTTCCAAATAGAGATACATTGGATTGGGCTATATCCCATTTAAATCTTTAAGTATGTTGGCTTGTATTTGGTACATAATTTTTTAAAAATCTCTGAAGTATCTCTTCAGAGCCGCTGGTGGTGCAGCGGGTTAAACTGCTGAGATGCTGAACTTGCTGACTGAAAGGTCAGCGGTTCAAATCTGGGAGCGGGGGTGAGCTCCTGCTGTTAGCGCCAGCTTCTGCCAACCTAGCACTTCGAAAACATTCAAATGTGTGTAGATAAATAGGTACTGCTTCTGCGGGAAGGTAACAGAGCTCCATGCAGTCATGCTGGCCACATGACCTTTGTGGCGTCTACGGACAACACTGGTTCTTCAGCTTAGAAATGGAGATGAGCACCACCCCCCAAACTAGACTTAATGTCAAGGGGAACTTTTACCTTTACTATGGAAAATTATCTAACCCTTTACCCAAGGTTCAGATCCTTGTTCAGCCATGGAACTCACTGGGGCAAGTCACACTCTCATAGCCTCAGAGGGAGGCCATGGCAAAATCCCCTCTAAATCCCCTCTAAATAAATCTTTTGAAGAAAATTATACTACAAGTTCATCTTAGGGTTGCTGTAAGTCAGAAATGACTTGAATGCAAACAACAGCAACAACCCACAAATACTCCACCTCTGGCTCCTGCATGTTAAAGCTACTGCCTGCTTCACTTAATACAAACACACTTAATACATGGATGCAAGTCTCCAGACTAACGACAGACATTTTTTGAAGAACTGCAAAAATAAAGTAGGGTACAACTTTATTATGTTTATATGTTTATTTCACATATTTGTGAAATATAATAAGTGTATAATTATTATTTACATTATTATTATTATTATTATTATTATTATTATTATCATACCCTGTACCATTGAAAATAGTGCTATATACAAGAATGCAATAATTATTACAATTTCAACCCCCCCCCCCACTTTTTCACTAATTCAGCAGTTTGTATGTTTTTTCTCCTGAGTGAAGCACTCCGTGATACAAATGGCATCATCGTTCAGATCAAAACAAATCAGTGCTCACCTTCAGAATGCATTAATGCCATTCACAAACGGGAATACAACAGCTGTCTCCAAGTCTATTTGAAAGCTTTCAGTAAGATGACAGAATGGAAGACAAATATATGTATGTGCAGTAGACATGTTTGTGCTTCTTTGCTTTCCTGAGCAACTTCTAGCATTTAATACATTTATCCCATGGACAGTTGCGAGTCTGCTGCTTCTATGCAGACAAACATGCACATTCTTAGGGATACAAATACACACCGCAAAAGTTGATCTCATCACCAGAGAAAACCAGGTGGCAAAAGCTTAATTACCAGTGACATTATTCTGCCTATACTGGTAAATGTAGCCTCTAATTAAGATGTAAATTTTAGTTCTGAGTGGTGAATTAAAAGCAATCTGACATGCATCCTATCCAACCATTCTTCGGATTCACTAAACAAGCTGAGGGAAAAGATTAAGCATGTATTCTAATAGTGTCAGAATCTAACATACCTTCCTACAAATATTTCAATTAATAAGAACTGTTTGTAGCAGATATGCTTAATTTCCATATAACTTATATATAATCTATATCCAAAGTCTGGATATAACCGTATTGAAGCATATTCGTATACCCATTGAGTATACTCTTTGAATTCATCTATTCATCCATCTATCTTTGCACCTAATAAATCACATTCAATTGAAAGTTTTCTGAAAGCATACTTTTGTCCAGGCTTCCTAGTCTAAAGCCTAGATAACAATATTTATAAACAGAGAATATATAATATTAAACTATTAGAAAATTATTTAAAAATTACCTCATATTGTCTTACGATCATTGTAGTTAGCTGTGGACATTCTTTGGACGACTGTCTGCTCTTCTGCTCTGCTTTCCCATCTATTACGCTGCTCCACTGAATTTCTGCTATCCTCTTTCCTGTTCATGTCATCTTATGCTCCCCCCTCCAACACGACATTAACTATTGCTATCTTTCTACCAGGCACCTTGGAAGCATCTGTCTCTGCTGATGCTGCTTAGAAGACCACAGCCGTAGTATTATAATTTATGCATTCATGAAAGGCAGTTGGCCTTCCCCCCTGGGATTCAAAATGTCACCTCCAGTAGACCTGGGCTTGAAATTTCAACTGTGTTTTTGAACTTCTCATGCCAGTTTTTTAACAAAAGGAGAAACAAATGATGCTACCATCACAGTATTATTACCATCCTTGTTCATCTGAAAACTGCTTGTTACGTTTCATGTACTATTGAACAGGAAGACTCGTGAAAATATAAACAAGGCAAACCCACAATTTTCACATTATCAAAAATACAAGGAGTATTCTCTTTTGCTAACACACACACACACACATACCCTTACTAAGTCAAATGCTGCTGTGTATAAACTCACCTCATGGAGTCGGCACAAAGCGATAGTGAAAATCAGAGCTAGGAGGGTGAGAGACGCTGTCCTGAGTATTTGCACCAGGCAGTGAGTGCTCTTGAACAGTGTCTACATCTTCACATCTCCTCTGCATATTTCTGCGGATAATTATCCCCATGCAGAGTACTGTATATCTTTAAGCATCCTCACACTTAAGTGCTACAGACAGCTCATTGCGTCCAAATTGCCCGATTCGGAAGCCACAGCTACCTCAAGGCTACTGAAGTAAAGATTCAATGGCACTTTGCAGAAGCAGTACAGTTAATTGTGCCAAGTGCAGAAAAAGACCACGGAAGAAAAATACAAAGGGGGGCTTGGGTCTACTATGAGGTTACTAGGCACTTGCTCAGTTGTACGCCAAGTTATTTAAAAATCATCATGTCATCTCCTGTGTTTATTTATTTATTTTTCTCCTGCCTTCCTCCCCATACAGGCACTCAAGGCGGCTAACGGCAAACGTGATACAATACAAATTAAAAACAAAAAATGGATGTAAATATGAATATAAAACTAACAAACAATTAAATCTTGGTGTCATGAAGCATGAACACTAAAATACGATTGCTGTTAAAACCATACACACACCCAAATCCCATTCATACCATCCCTAGCAGTCTGCCCCTCAAAAACATTTATCCCTTCAGTGCCAACAAGTCCTATCACCTTTTCAATTGAATTTGAATTAAGTGCTGCAATTTTTTGTAATTCACCTTGTATTGTCTGACGTTCGTTGTAAAAGGACCAAAGTAATAGATTTGTTTAAATATATCATAGTACCTGGACAGAAAAATGCCAGAGAATACAGGATTTAAAGAATTGGGAAGCAAAGTGTTGACTTCCAAGGGCCTATCTTTGCACATACACCAATTCCAAACTCTCTTAATTGAAAACAAATATCCTAAGAAGCCATTAAGACTCATACATGTTTGCTGTTTGTCTTTTCTACTTTTCCTCAGAAAGCTCGGCACATCCCTGGCTCCAATAAAATTCCCCCCACACGCACAGAAAGTGACAAGCTCACTCTCTGAATTTCTTTGCACGCTTATGTACACTTGAGCAAATGGTAGTAGATTACTACTTTAGAGCCCATCTGCTGCTTTCATTTATATTTAGCAGAAATAATGACCACCCTGCCTAGATTTTAGACAAGGCGCAATGTTAGAATATGCTTTTAAATACAAGCTGCAGATAAGCATACATGTGCGTGCTTATGCATGTGTGTGAGTGCACATGCACACACTTCATCTCCCTTTATTTCTAGGTAAATATATGCAAAAGTTCTTTTTTCCAAGTAAAACATCATACCAATAATTTTATCCTATCATTGCTATATGATAGATCCACCACAACAGGTATTCTGCATCCTTAATTCTTCAGACAATTTCTATTTAAATTAGTACTAGGGATGTATTAGAAACTGATAAACTATACCATTCTGTAAAGCGACATTTTGCTTGCTGATTTAAATTCTCTTTTCAAGAACATCAGTAGACACTTGCAAGTACTATCTTGGTTTTTTTTTTCCCTTTTCTTTTTCTAAAACTGATGTATAACCCATAGCGGACTCTTTTCCTAACACATGTTTCCTTAGAGAACCCCACGGTGTTACTGTCTTAGAAAACGAAGGCAAAGATGACTGAGGGAATTCAGTCACTCTGTTTAATTAATACAGGATTATTTCACTTTCATTTTGCGGAGATAATAATACGACTGGCGGAATGTCAGTAAAAATTAAATCATAAACTAGTGGAGTGCCAAGGGGAAAGCTTACTTTGGTTATGGAGTATCCCCTGTAGAAATCTTGAAAAATCTTCGACATATTTACACTAGTAAAATGCCACATGCTGTTCCATCGGATAGTGAAAGATTTCGAGAATCTGCATGACATGTATCACAGAGCACATTTTTCAGATTATACGTTAATAAGAGAGTTGAAGGTGTGTTGTTTCCTGAATGTTAAGTCACCAAATGCTAAATGATAAAGTACACTCAAGGTCAGCATTGCATTTTGGACAATCTCGGTCACTGATGTTATGATAATCGCATCTAAAATATTCGTACAGAAAGCACAAAAAGATTATTATGATAAACAACAGTACGAAAGAAAAGCAATTCATATTGCTTTCTTTCCCTCACAATAAATTGCTACTCTTTATTGGGACAATGAGGCCACGTATTTTGTTTTAGCCACTTTTTCTTCTAGTTCCCTACATAATATTTTCAAAGAGTTTGAGAGAAATCTGTTTAACGTGAAAGCAGTTGTTTGGGTCTTTCTTTCTTTTTAAAAGCCACTTTGTGGAAAGGATTTTTTAAAAGCCAGTATAATCATCCACCCTAAAATCAAATTAGGATATCTCACCAACTATGGGACAAGATCAGATGGCTCTTCTCCTCACCTCCTGTCTCTCCCCAGCTTCCTACCTAACTGGAAGCTCAGGGCACTAAAAATAGAAAAGAAGATGGAGTGCAAATATTTCCCCAGTGAAAACACCAATAATCTTTACTGTGAGCTGACACGAATTGCTTGTTACACTGCCCTAGGATATCATGGCCTGAAGCGACAGCACTCACAGACACACAAGCGCACGCACGCACACACACATTCAAAGGCACTAAGCATCTCAAAAGCTAAAGTAATGTGCATTTGTGTAGGTGCATTTTCAGCAGACCTATGAAATCGGACGTCTGGTTGATACACCTGCCATACAAAACCCATCATTTGTAGCCTTCTAGGTTTTAGTTTCCTCTAAACACCGTGGCCCATCTTTCTCTCCCTCTCAATTCACTTTTCTCAGGCATTTTTTTGTTATTAATGTTATTGCTATTATTACTGTGCAAGCATAAGCTGATCCACGGGAGAGCCTGTGCAATTTAACCCCTGAAGCGCTAATTTTTTTTGCACATGTGCAAAGGCACAGGTTTGTTGTTGCCTCTAGCAATATCCCAGCAAGACGAGTGATGGCGGTGTCATATCATCACATAGTGACTTAATCTATTGCGACATCCAGGGAATGGGCAACTGAAAAAGATTTACAGGACATGTTTTTTAACTGCATACAAACACATTATCCCCATTTTCCAGTAACCCAGCCACAGTGGGATCACACCAGAACAATTTTCACCCGCCTTCATCTTCCAGTTTGACATATTAAGCCCTGTGTCATCTAACCTGCTTTTTTGACCAAGAATGTAATTCTAATAAAAGCATTTTTGTAACATCTTACTTTTTTATTCTTTTCATGTCTCATGTTTAACAAGCAGTCAGAGCGCGATGAATCACTGAATAGGGCAGCCGTAGTAGTGAGACTGTCCATGCACTGAAGGAAAGAGTCTTCCTTCTATATCCTTTTCAAACTGTCTGATATCACTGGTATGTTTAACAACAACTTTGTATACTGCCCTATCTCCCCAAAGGGACTCAGGACAGTTTCCAACAAAAATGGCAAACAGTCAATGGCAGAATACACTAACAAAGAGAAATAAACAACCCCCCAGATCCCAAAAAAATTCATAATGATAATAAAATTAAAATAATAACAGATAAACCAAAATTAAGAAATAATATAACCAATCAACCACTGCATATCTAACATTAAAACATGATGCAAATTCAAAAACTTAGAGGCAGCACATTTTTAAGGTATAAAGGATGTGATATTCAACTTTGAATACTTAGCTGCAACAAATATTGACAAAAAGAAAAATCACCTGTACTGTGTAAAGGTAAAACTGACATATACAACCTTATCATATGAAGGCAGAGAAGCGTCTTCTCCCTGCTTCTCTGTGCTACTGGCATGGAGTCCCCTGGAGCTACTTCTGGCGGGACTCTGGGGTTCCACTGCCCGCATGGAGCCCCACCAGAAGTACCCTTGCATCATGCTGACCCAACTCGTTCAAAAAATGCACTTGAGTCGAAGAGGAAGTGGGGGACAGCGGGGAAACGTGGGAAGGCCCTGATAGTAGGGAACAACCAGATGGGTTCCTAATCCTGGCCCACAATTTCCCCCACTGTCCCCCTTCTTTACAGGTCACAATTTCCCCCACTGTCCCCCACTTTACAAAGGGCCATCTGATGAGGTCTATAGTCATTCTCTCAGCTTGGCATACTTAATATGAGCATCATAATTTTGCTTTCTGTTCAGTTTCATTTTTTAGCAATTGATACATTAGGATACGAAAAAGAATAAACATTAATATATCGGTGTTTAGATCAGGCATGGGCAAACTACATTCCAGGGGCTGGATGCGGCCTCCTAGATGCTTACTTCAGGCCCTCCTTAGTTTCCCTGTTCTTTTGGCATAGGGACGTGGTGACTCGCTGCATCCTTATGCAGAAAAGACGAGGGAGGAAGACATGCAGTGACTGAGAGCTCTCTGGAGCACTCTCACCCACTGCATGTCTTGCCCTCCTCCCAGCATAAAGAGAGTGTGAGTGACCTCATCCTTATGCTGAGAGGATGGCCCAAGAAAGGTACATAGCAGCTGAAAGCCCTCCAGAGTGCTCTCGGCAGTTGCCTGTCTGACCTTCCTTCTGGCATAACGTCAAGAGGACAGCCCAAAGATCGGGGTGGGGAGGATCGGGGAGTAGGATCAGGACAGTCACCGCATGTCTCAATTTCCTCCTGTCATAAGGATGGTGTGAGTAGCTCCATTCTTATGCAAGGAGGACAACCTGAGGATGCCCCAGGCCCTGCCCCCTTCCAGCCCTGCCCTTTCACATCCACCCCCTTCCTGTGCCCATCTCACCTGGCATGTGCCCAGCTGTCTTCCCTTTCAGCCGGACTCACAATGCAGCCTCAAGGCAAAAAGGTTTGTCCATGTCTGGTTTAGATGAACTGTAATCCTAATACAAGAACTTTGGTAGTCTTTTTTTCATGTCAGGAGCGACTTGAGAAACTGCAAAACACTTCTGGTGTGAAAGAATTGGCCGTCTGCAAGGACGTTGCCCAGGGGATGCTCAGATGTTTTTGATGTTTTATCATCCTTGTGGGAGGCTTCTCTCATGTCCCCGCATGGGGAACTGGAGCTGACAGAGGGAGCTCATTCATGCTTTCCCTGGATTCGAACCGCCAACCTATTAGTCTTCAGTCCACTGTCATTATATAAGCCCGTTGATCCACTGCATCAACAGGCTTATATAATGCACAATACAAATGAACCATTGTCACTGTTGGGTGGATTCATGCACTGACCAGAAATATTTGCTTAGGGAAGGGGGGAATAGTGGACCTGAATCTTATGACCACTTCTTCCGATCTAAGCTATATGGCAGGCCCTTGGTATCTAATGGAGTTAGGTTCCAAGATACCAAAATACACGGATGTTCAAATCTCCTTATATACAATGGCATAGTAAAATGCTGTACCTTATATATAAAATGGCAAAATCCAGGTTCAATTTTTGGATTTCTGTACATATTTTAACCCCATGCATGGTCAAATTTATGAATGCAGATTCCTTGGATATGGAGGGCCAACTGATTATGCTTTGTATTGTCCATATTTTTGGAAGCAGAAGAGAGGAAGATATTTAAAGATCTCGATTTGTTCGAGATTGGAAAGTTACTTTTAAAAGTGTAGTGACATACCGAAGCCATCTAAACCCAGATTATCAACCTAATCATACTTCATCATGTCATTATACTAAATCTTGAAAGTAACTTTGTAAGTTACTTTTGGAGGGTAAGATTTCAGTACAATTAGCACTGGATTATCATTGATTCATATAGACAAATTACTGCAGGCCCTTCAGTGTTATCTGTTATCTCCATTTTGTGTGTTAATTAAGTAATTGGATACAAATGCATGGGATCAAGCTGCTAGTCTCGCTGAAGCTGATATTGGATTCACATTTGATTTTGGTATTGTTTTCTATTGTACTTTGTATTTTGTTAGTTTGATTTCTTGTCACTAGTCCTAGAACAGGTAACAAATGTGCAAAAAAAAAAAAAGTCCAAAAGGAAACTGCTCCAGGGTCCCAACTACATTAATATATCTTTGACTTTACTCACTGTTCTGGATTGTATAATGCAGATGTTAATGGTGCCTGGTCTTCCATTCAGTTTTCTAACTATGAATCTGAGCCCAAATAATTATACCTTATCAAATGCTGTACCCAGAAGCTTAGTCATATTAGGAAATGGATGGGGAATATCCAGCCCTCCGGGTATTGTCAAACTGCATTCCTGACCATGCTATGCTAGTCAGGGCTTTGAGGAATGCAATCCAGAAATATCTAGAAGGCCACAAATGTTACTATTATACAACATTTTTGTGATTAAAAACTTTAAAAGCATTGATTTTAGATATTTTTAGATAATTTATATAAGAATGATATTTCAAAAATAGCTTCACCACCTTATATTCTTGAAGTTTATATCATCTGATAGTATCTATTCAAAACCTTAAGGAATAAAATATATATCAGGATTTATTTTTCACATGTATTAGGCAAAAATGGCTAGTAAAACATTGCTATAGTGTGCCTATGCTTATTTATGACTAATGTAATAAATATCCTTAGTTTTTTAAAATAAAAATGTATTAACATATTAGAAGATGATTAAACGAGACAATATAATCCTAATGTGATCATTTTGTGGCTGGACCTTCCATTATTACTCATTTCTATTGATTAGCCAGTTAGACTTATTCAATTATTCAATGCTAATCAATAGGTTTAGCTCTAGGATACATAAATACTACCCCTGCCTTTACCTAATTTAGCCCATGTGTCTAGTAATTTGCAAAAAAGTCTTGATTTTATCATTATGAATATGCAGAAACAAAGTTTTGGGAAATAGTATTAATTTCTGCTTTCCCTGCTGTTTGTTGTTGTTATTGTTGTTGTTGTTTTTTGTCGTGTCAGGAGTGACGTGAGAAACTGCAAGCCATTTCTGGTGTGAGAGAATTGGCCATCTGCAAGGACGTTGCCCAGACGACGCCCGGATGATTTGATGTTTTTTTTTAATCATCCTTGTGGGAGGCTTCTCTCATGTCCCCGCATGAGGAGCTGGAGTTAATAGAGGGAACCCATCCGCCTCTCCCCGGATTTGAACCTGCAACCTGTTGGTCTTCAGTCCTGCCGGCACAGGGGTTTAGCCCCCTGCGCCACCGGGGGCTCCATTCCCTGCTGTTAGTTGAAATAGGTTAGGGCAATGTATTTGAAAATGAGCAAACAATACTTATAATAAATCAGTCATGATGACTTGCCAATGGTTCCAAAGAGTATTAAAAAGCAAACTAAATAAAAATTACATACTGCTGTTAGAAAACCCAATATATGGATCTGAAAGTTGATTCTGCTAGGCTGAAGGTTTCTTTGCCCCATGAAAGGCTTTTGATCCAGTAGACAATTTCCTCCCTTCTATTATCAGCCATTCATATTGCCACAAAAGGGAGCAAATGTTTTTGAGATTTTCTGCTTTATACAATACATTAGGCTGACTGGCTTTGAATAATATGTAGCTTGATGGGGGCATTTGCTCCTCTTGTCACACAGCAACATGTCTTGATATGGTCTCTGCAGAGTATTGAACAAAGTTTGAACTAATATTTCCATTTAATTTCTTGATTTCCTCCCCCTCTTAGTGTTTCCATCCGATGAGGTATTAACAGTAAGGCAAGTACATCTAGGCATTATTATCCATTTACTTTAATGCAATATATACTGGTATAGTGATGTCTTCACATTTTGATAAATTTGGCTGCAAAAGAAGCAAGATTCCTCACTACGTTTTTAGCAATGTTGTAACCCACCATGAGGAAAAAAAGGTAAGAAATAAAACTATTATTAGTTTCATCATCATCATCATCATCATTATGTTTCTCAATATATTTTCATAGTCTGGATGAGTTAGATGCCTATTTTGCTCACAAAACAAAGTATTTGAATTAAGAGTTCCTAGATCTGTGGTTACAGCCCTCCATTTCATGTTGAAATCAATCCAGTTAGCAAGATCAACACTTCAGGATGATGGAATTTGGAGTCTAACAGCCATTAGAAACACTTAATCATAGAATCGTAGAGTTGCAAGGGGCCTCATGGAATATCAGATCCAGCCCTCTGCTCAATGCAGGATCGCTTGCAAACATCCCTAGCAGGTAGCTGTTTAGCTTCTTTTTGAAGACATTCAGAGAAGGAAGCCCCACCACCTCTCTAAGTAATTGGTTCCATTATCTACTACTTTAGAAGGAATGTTATTGTTGAGACATTT